ATTTCCTAGATTTTCCTTTTAATACAGTAGAATTAAATTCCGATGGAAAAAAAGCAGGGGAAAGAGAGACCTTCTCAAATCTATTTGCTATAATTTCTACGTGTATCCAGCAAATTCTAGCAGATTTATTTACTTAGCATGAGCTGGGAGGAAAAAAGCATAAAAGTTTAGAAAAACAGAAATTAATCATGTCTTCTATTTCTTTTCAAAATATTAAAATTTATATAAAATTATCAATACTTTTCAACACTTTAATAAATACGTGATCTCATTAATGTGGTCACTCTCTCCATTGGTTAAAGCCCCAAGTGAACGCTTCATAATCTATGTGCTTCCTACAGGTATCTTTAATACACATATATTACATATGACACTTTATATATTATATGCATACATATATAATATATATGTATTAAATATATACATATTGCATATACACATATACATATAGACTATATATGTATTAAATATACCCTTAGCATGTACATAGATTATTTTCACAAAGATTTTGTAGCAATAAGAAAAAAGCATATGAGCTAACAGCTGCTTCTGTCCTCTGTATTATCCTTTTTTTAAAGTAAAAATAATATTTGTGACCATTTGCATTCTTTAACAATACACTTTTTGATGAGATATATTGAAAATTGATCTATGGATGCATTTAAATTACATTCTCTTCAATAAATATTTCTTATATATTTGCTCAGGTACATCTGCTTTTCCCAACTTTATCTACTTCAGTGTGATAGCTACTCCCTTATATAAGAGGTACTGAGGAGGTTGAGTCAAAGTCTGGTGGTTCCCTTATAGTCAATAATGATAAGACTGAACCATAGAAATGTCAGGAAATCAGTTATATTTGCATCTGTTAATTTTCTTCCTTTGAGTGTCATTACAAATGCTCTTGAGGAAATGGCATGGCTAACATGATCTTGTAAGTTCTCTTCTCTCTCCCTAAATTGTTCCCTCTTCCCCTCTTCTACAGATATCATCTATCTGCCATCTATCTCTCTATCTATCTTTCTATCTATCTACCTGTCTACTCCATTTTCTCCTCAATTCATTTTTACTCTTTTGTAAGGTCTTACTGATTATAATATTCTGCCATCCTCAGAAATAATTTGTAAACAAGATTGTACTTTAAATCAGTATTGTCTTTGGCTTCCATGTCTTTCCACTGGGCAGGAAGATCAAGTGTTTGTTGACTGATAGATTCCTTCTCCTTGGAGACCCTTTGACTTGCCAGTTATCTATACTAATATGATAAGATTCCTTTTATGTATATGTTGGACTAGATGGCTACTGAGATCCCTTCCAACTCCCAAATTCTTTGGTTCTGTAATTTTGGCAATGGTATTAGTTAATCAGTCAGTTCATAAGCATTTATTAAGACCATTGAAGATGGTCTTAGAGGGATAGCATCCTGGGCCATTGACAGCTGTTTTGACTTTTGTCTTGCCATTGAACTTCAATGACCCTGGAGGAGAGAGAGGCTGATAACTTTGCACAGCTCTGCCTCACTAAAATTCAATTCATGCACAAGTCAAAACATTACCCATGAGATGGCATTGGTCCTCTTTGAGAATGAAAGACCAACAACAACAACAACATGTTGGATGGCAGAGTCACGATGCAAAAAGATCTGATAGGTTGGAAAATGGGACTGAATCTAATAAGATGAATCTTAGTAGGGATTAAATATAAATTTTTCCCTTTGATCCAGCTATAGAACTTCTAGGGCTGTATCCCAAAGAGATCATACAAATAGGAAAAGGACCCACGTATACAAAAATATTTATAGCTGCTCTTTTTGTGGTGGCAAATAATTGGAAATTGAAAGGATGCCCATCAATTGGGGAATGGCTGAACAAGCTGTGGTATATGAATGTAATGGAATACTATTGTGCTATAAGAAATGATGAACGGGCTGACTTCAGAAAAACCTGGAAAGACTTACATGGTCTGATGTGGAGTGAAGTGAGCAGAACTAGGAGAATGTTGTACACAGTAACAGCCACTTTGTGCAATAACTAATATTGATAGACTTAACCCTTCTCAACAATGCAAGGATCTAAGACATCTCCAAAGGCCCCATGATGGAAAATGCTATCAACATCCAAAGAACTATAGAGTTTGAATGCAGATTGAAGCATACTATTTGCTATTTTTTCTTCTATTGTGTTTTGTGTCCTCTTTCTGGTGGTTCCTCCTATTGGTTCTAATTCTTACTTACAGCATCGCTAATGTAAAAATATGTTTAATAGGAATGTATATGTATAGCCTATATCAGATTGCGTGCTGTCTTGGGGAGGGAGGTGGGAAGGGAAGCGGAGAAAAATGTAATACTCAAAAGCTTATGGAAGAGATTGTTGATAAATCAAAATAAATTAATAAAGTTTAAAAAATGTATAAATTTCTACTTGGTTTTAAAAATCAATTTGACAGGTGTAAAGTGAGGGAAGACATTCTAGAATGTGGTTTGGATGAAAAAGATATGGGTGTTTTAGTGGACTGCAATATCAAAATGTCAGTAATGCAACATATTGCCCCCCCTCCCCCAAAAGTTTTCCCTACATTGTATTGAGTCCAGAATGAGGAATTTTGTAGACCTGACCTTGATAGGCTACATCTAAAATATTTTGTTCAGTTCTGTATACACTGAAAAGCTAGAATGTGTTCAAAGGTAAGCTACCAGATGATAAAAAGACTGGAGACTATGTTATATAAAGCACTGGTAATGCTCAGCCACATGAAGAAAAGACTTCAGGGAAGCATAATAGCTGTCTTCTGCTATTTGAATGTCTGTCATATAAAAGAGATAAGAGACTTGTCCACTAGGTCTTGGTAGGCATTGGATGGAAGTTGCAATGAGGAAGATTTCAACTCAATGTATAAAAACAATAACAACAACAACAAAGACCTCATAATTATTAGACCTATTCAAAATTAAACTAGGAAGGTAGTAGGTTCTTCCTCAAAGGAGGTTTTCAAGCGGGGATTGGATGACCACTTGTAAGAGATGTTGCATTCTTGTTAGAGGTATAGTAAGACTGAATTAGATAGCCTCTGAAATCCCTTCGATCCCCAAGACTCTGAGATCCTATGTACCCTTTGGTAAAAAAGGCACTTTTTATTGCCCTCTAGGATCAGGAGAAATAAGTGTAATCCTTCTTTCACACACAAACTTTAAAATCTCATAAAACTGCAATCATGTTCCCCTTCAAGACTTTCTTACAGAAGAAATATCTCCATTGCTTCAGTTCTTGCTGCTGCTGCTGCTGCTGTTGTTGAGTCATTCAGTGTCCAAATCTCCATGACCCCATGGACCCTACTAACCATGGTGTTTTCTTGGCAAAGATACTGGATAATGGAGTGCTTTACCATTACTTTCTCCAGTGGATTAAGGCAGAGATTAAATTACTTGCCCAAGGTCACATAGCTAATAAGTGTTTGAGGCCAGATTTGAACTCAGGTCTTCCTGACTAGGTCCAGTGTTCTATCCACTGAGCCATTTAGCTGCTTCAACCAAGTTTTAAAATAATCTTGATTCTAGTCCCTCCCATTTTGTTCACACTCCTTTAAACTTGATCCAGCTTGCCAATACCATTTCCAAGATATGGCATGATGAACAGTATTTCATACTTCAAATGATGGTTAATTGGGGCAATGTAGGCACTTAAATATTTGTTAGATTGAATTAAATTGAGTGAATTTAAATTACATTACTACTTTTTCTTTCTTCTATTAATATAGCCTAAGACTGAGGTAGATGTAGCCTGTGCATAGAGGGCTCACCTTGGAGTCTGGACGACCAAGTTTAAATCCTGCGTCTCTCCCTTTCCATATGACCCCAAGAATTTAGTTCACTTAATCCCTAAGTACCTGAGATAATTCTCTAAGGTAGATTACAGGAAAGCTGCATTGATGAAGGGACTTTCCTACAACAATGACAAGCATAGGTCCAATATTAGCTATTTTGGCTACCATATCAAACTGCTATCTCAGAATGATTTTCAGTCCAATAAAATGCCCAAGCCTTTGCCCCATGTAATGCTATGCAATGAAACACAGAGTATGCACAAATCATTTGCCCTTCTTCCTGAGGCAAATGCGGTGGCACATGTGTATGTGCCATTTCAATTTAATATATTCCTTTTTTGAATTGCAAAGACCCTGTCTCCTTTACCCCTTTAAAGTAGAGGGCATGACCTTTCAGTGTCTTCATGCCCCTTTTCCTTTAGAATTGTAGCAAAAAAAAAAAATCACCTCTATCTTCACTATTGGCTCCTCATATCACTGAGAATCAGAATTCATTGAGCCTCGGATTGTTACCCAAGAAGAGGAAATATGAATTAAGTTTAGACTAGGAGACAGGTTAATTTTATGCTATGGATGACTGGTTGTGGTACTAGTAATGCTGCTTAATCTAAGAGAATCTTAACATCTTAATATCTTAAAATCTTAATCTAAGAGAAACTATAGGTTCAGACATTAGGTTTATATGCTTAATTGAAGAGCTGATTAGGGCACTGTCAATAATTGCAGCCCTGATGACATTCTCATCCACCCCAATTCCACTGACCAACTTTCATCAATAATGGATCACCTTGATCCAACCCATCTTGCTGCCACCTACTGCTTCCAAGTCAAACAGCAGAGGCAATGTGACAGTGGCAAGAGAGCTAGGGCTGGCATCAGGCAACCACCTGTGCCACTGACTACCTTTGAGATCTTAGGCAAGTCACATAAAGCTTGGTGCCTCATTTTCCCCATATGTAAAATGAGGGAATTGTTGTAGAGACCTCAAAGGCACTTCAAACTTTATACCTATGAACCTCTTTGCCTATCCAACTGCTTCCCCCATTCTAGTTGCTACAACATTCCTCAAAGAAACTAGTTTCCCCAAATTCAATGCTTTTTAATGATTACCATAACATTTCTGCCTAAAATAGGTTTTGAAATTAAGTCAAATAAGCTGTCCAATGAAAGAAAACTCTTACCTTCTAAATCTTCCTTCTCAAAGTGTGTTTTGAGGATTGAGCGAGTTCCGCCCCTATCCACAACAGCTTCTTCATCATTTCTCTGCAGAATGAAGGAGGAAAAAAGAATATAGTTCAAAATCATCCAGAGGTTAAATATGTTATTTTACCTTCAAGAATCTACTTTAATACCAGTATTCTATCTGGTGATTAGTTACTGGTGTACAAGGAAGGAACTAAATTGCCTGAGAATATATCCACAGGAGAAATGTCTCATTTTCAATGAAGCTAAAGACAGAAAGGTATTCTAGATTGAGTCCATTCTAAGGCAACAGGAATGAATGAGCAAATCAGCAGACATAATATTAATTATTAATAATATCAATTGTTTTAATATTTATTGTTACTAATAATATTAATAACTATTAGACATAAAAATAAATAAGCTTGACACCTGCTTTTATGACATTTATAATCTAGAAGCAGGTGGAATATAGAAGGGAACAGTTAGAGTAATTATTTATTTTTTGAAATTCCCTGTATTTTATCTTTGAGATACAATTCCTACATCAAGATGACATTTTGAACTAAGCAAGCAAAATATAAAAAAAAACATTAGTAGCATTAACTGTTAATATTATGGTGAGGTTAGAGGATGCCCGTGCTATTAAAAATGAAAAAAGAAAAATAATCCCTTGAAAGCAATTAGTAGTAATAACAAAGTGAACTACAATTCATTATTTTGCTTCAAGAGGAAGTATGTTGTTCTAATGGTAAACCATCAACCATGATTATTTACATTCAATTCAACAAGTATTTATTAAATGTCTATTCTAGGCACTAGATATGCAAAGATGGACAATGAAATTATTCCTGACCTCAGAGAGTTTTTGGTCTAATGATCCAGTGGAGGGTAGGGCAAGGTGGTAGGGAAGATATAGCATGTATACAAATATGGATGTTATTAAGTAGAAAATGTGAGAAGGACAGTCAACACATAGACAAAACAGTCTGAGAAATTTAAGTAGCCAGGAAAGGTGGCTCATGCCAGAAACTGGGGAGACTGAGGTTAGTGTGTCTATCCACACTAAGTTTAGTACCAATATGGTGAGTTTTGGTGTTGATCAAAGTGGCCACTGTACTTTTAGCCTGAGGAAGATAGGGTGACCCAGTCCCAAAAAAAGAAAAGAAAAGAAAAGAAAAAGAAGAGGGAAAGAGAGAGAAAGGAAAGAAAAAGAATAAAAAGGGGTGGAGGGAGGGATAAAGGAAAGAAGGAAGGAATTTAAGGACAGAGATGAAGCAAGGGAATCAGGGAAGACTTCATAGAGGGGGTAGTGAAAGAATTGGGCCTTCAAGGAAAATTAGAAACCCAACATATAGAAATGTGGAATGCCATGTTCAAGAAAGAGTGAGTAGGCTAGTGTAGAATGTAGAATGAATGTAGCAAAATAGGGTGTAAGAAGACTGGAAAAGTAGGAGGGGACAGGTTACAAAGTGCTCTAAATGCCATACAGAAAAAATTACATTTTATCCCAGAGGTAATAGGAAGCTATTAGAACTTATTGAGCAGGAGATGTGGCATGATCAAATCTATGCTTTAGAAAAATCACCTTGGTAACTGAGCAGAGGATGGATTAGGGTGTGAAGAGAGCTGAGGCAGAGACCAATTAGAAAGCTCTTGTGATAGTTCAGGTAAGAGCTGCGAAGGGCCTGAAGTAGGATGGTGGCTTTTTGAGTGGAGAGAAGAGAACATTAGTAAGATATGTTCCAAAGGAAGAAACTACAAAATCTGGCAACAGACTGGAGGTGTGGGGTTAGTGGGAGTGAAAAGTCAAGGATGATACCAACATAGTGGGCATGGGTTACTGGAGAGATGATAGTGCCCTAAGTTGTCGTAAGGCAATTTGGAAGAGGGAAGGATTTACGGGATAGATAATGAATTCTACTATGTATATGTTGAGTTTGCGATGCCCATGGGATGTCTAGTTTGAGATGTCTAGAAGGCATTTTGTGGCATGAGAGTGTAGCTTGGCAGAAAGACTAGAGCTGGGTATATAGCTCTGGAAATCATTTGTATAAAGATGATAATTGAATCTATGGAAGATGATAAGATCACCAAATAATATAGGGCTAAAAGATACAACGGCTCAGGATATAGGCTTGAGAAACACCAACAGTAGGTGAGTATGACTTGGATGAAGATTTGGCAAAGGAGATTGAGGAGGAGAAATAAGAGATATAAAGAGAGTCAGGAAAGAGCAGTTTCTGTTAAATGATGAAGTCAGAAACCAGATTACAGAGGGTTTAGAAATGAGTGAGAAGAATGGAAGTAAAAGCATCCTGTATGGATCACTTTCTCAAGGAGTTTAGCCACAAAGGAAAAGAGAGTTATAGGTAATAGCTAGCTGGGATGTGGGATCATATGAGTGATTCTAAAATTGAGGAGATATGGATTTGTTTGTAGACCCTAGGGAAAGAACCAGTAGATATGGAATGAGGTGAGATGAAGTGGTAAGTCAAGGTAACTGAAACTAAGGATGATAGTGGAAACAATTTGCTGGAATAGACATGAACAGATGGTATCAAGGGTGCATGTAGAAGGATTTATTTGATTAGGAATGGAGCCACATCTTCTAAACTAGAGTGAAGGAGGATATAATGGCGGAAGATGTGTGAGAGGTATGAGTTAAGGAGAAGTGGATAAAGGAAGGCTCTTAAGGAATGACTTTAATTTCTTTTAGATACTTATAAGGCAAGGGCTTCAGCTGGAAGTATATGGGGAGGAGATGCTGGTAAATATTTGGAACAATCATTGTGGAAAACAGGAGAGTGAATCAATTAGTATATGATAAATGTTTATCTTGATGCAATAAGGACTCAGTTGAAACTAGATAACAAATTTTGGTGGACTAAGTTGGCATCATTTTATGATTTCTGTTAGCTCTATTTGGCACACAGTAGCAGGTGAAAAGAAACCTTCAGTCTTCTCTCTACAGGGGATCTGGAATTTGGGATCCTGGTAGTGGTGGTGCAGTATTAGCTTAAAATTTGAAGTGAATTTCATGGAGTTAAGACCAAGGCCTACTGGTAAGGGAAAATATATAAAGTTATGTTACTGCATACATAAGCTACATGTATCCTGTGGTACCACAGGAAATTACTGACATTCTTCTATCTTGATCCTAGGATGAGAGGGCTCCTGTTGGTTCCATTCCTTTCTTCATCCAGATAAGAGTTTTTAACTGTGAGAAAATGAGTGGTAAACATAGACAGTAACCATGAGAGAAGAAAGAGACCAAAGAATGTTGGTGTGGTTGTGTGAAAGACTTCTTAGAGGAGGTTGGACTTGAATTGGTCCTTGAAGAGCAGTATCACTGAAATAGGCATACAGGAAAAGGGCACATTCCAGGAAAGGAAAAAAAAGTTTAAGTTAATAGAGAGCTGAAAATAAGCATGGATGGGAAGGGGATCAGCTTGATTAAGTGATTAAGCTATGCATAAATAGTGGGAGATAAGGCTAGAAAAGTAGGTGGGGAAATGTAAAGGGAATTAGAAGTCAGTCTGAGGGGTTTGCAGTTTATCCCATAGGTAATGGTAAATAATGAAAGGTTTTTAAGAGGCAAAGGGATGTGATTTCTTTTTAAATGGGGAGGGTGTTTTAAGAAGATTAATCTGGTGGTATTATTTAAAAATAGATTAGAATCTGGTGCAGGATATAGACAGAGACTGCACAAAAACTATTAGGAGATAATAACAATGGTCTAGATGCAAAATAACTATGACTTAAGGTAGGGTCATGTGAGTAGGAATAGAGAGGATAGATAGGGGAAAGATTTCAGAGGAAGAATAAAAAATACTTGTGACTAGACATTGGGGATAAAGAAAAAAGGATAAATAAAAATGATGAAAATTTTTGAACCTAAGCTAACTGGGTGAGTGACAGTAGTATTGACAGAAATAGAAAAGTCAAGAAAGGGAGAGTTGGGTTCAAAAAGCTTAGACTAGCTGTAGACATGCAAAATTGGAACCAAGAGCAGGATATATACATGTCAATTTATAACAAGCAGGTGCAAGCATGGGGCATGAGCTTGGGTGAGATGTGAGGGCTGGAGGTACAGCTTTAGGAATTATCCTCACAGAAGTAGTAATAGCCAAAGCCAAGAGAATAAGAAAGTTCACCAAGAAATAGAGTAGAACAAAGGACTGGGTATTAGTAAATGTTCATAGTTAAGTGTTATGAACAAGGAGAGTCAACAATGAATTAAAGAAGGATCAATCAGAAAACTAAGAAGCAAATTGGTATAATACAGTATCACATAAGTATCAGAAGAATTTCGGGGTGGAAGGATAGGGAAAAGAATGGGAAATAGTATCAAAATATAAAAGAAAAAAAATTGAAGAAAACCAGGCCTGAAAATAAGACCTTACATTTATCAAGGCAGTGATCACTGGGAACCTTTAGGAAAACGGTTTCACTACAATGGCTGTGACAAAATCTGGGCTTTAAGTAACCAAGAAAGAAATATGAATGGTGAAAAAGTGGAGGAATCAAATATAGACTAGCATCCCAAGAAATTTATTAAAAGAAAGAAATACCATATTATTCTCCCTATGAGACTTAATGATATTTCCTATGTCTTTCACCATTCCTAGAATCATAAAATGTTAGAGCTAAAAAGGGACTTAAGAAGAGTCCAATCCTTTCATTTTAAAGATTTAAAAACTGAGGACTAATGAAATTTTCCCTAATTTCCCTAAATTCCCTAATAATGAATTTTCCCTAATTAGTTAATGGCAGAACTAGGACTAGAACCCCAAAGTTTTTCCTAAGGATTACCATAATATGTGAGTCAGAGGGGGAGTGGTAGGGCACAGATTTTTTTGGAGGAGGGGAAGCTTCAAACTGTGCAGGAGGATGGGTATATCTCAGGTGTATATGTGTCTCTATGTGTGTACTGCTAAGATGATGTAACCTGTGTCTGAAGAAGTGTTTACTGGGCTGAGCTACAAATTGGCTGCAGTCTTAGGAACAGAATACACTGATGTGTTTGGGTGGTAATCAACAGCATTTTCCTTTTATAATACCTTCTGAATCTTCTATTC